AATAACCTCATATGCATGCGAAAGCTGGACAGTGAATAAGGAAGACCATAGAAGAATTGATGCTTTTGAGTTATGGTGTTGGAAGAGAATATTGAAAGATCCATGGGCTGCCAAAAGAACCAACAGATCTGTTTTGGAAGAAGTGCAGCCAGAGTGCTGCTTGGAGGCCAGGATGTTCAAACTTCATCACTCATACTTCAGAAATTGTCAGGAGGGAGCAGTCGTTGGAGAAGGGTATCATGTTTGGTAAGGTGGAGGGTCAGAAGAAAAGAGGAAGACCCCCCCGATGATATGGATTGGCCAAGTGGCAGCATCAATGGGCTCAAGCATGGCAACAATTGTGAGGTTGGCCCAGGATCGGGCAGTGTTTTGTTCTGTTGTGCATGGGGTCACTATGAGTCGGTGCAACTCAATGGCAGCTACAACAGCAACAACAATCTAAAGGGGTAATCTTAAATATGTTTTCTCAAAGAACCCAAGACATTCATGGAGGCTTATTATGAAGACATTTTAAGCAAATTGAAAACTGCATTGTTGAGAAAAAGGTCAGGAAATTTGAACCAAGGAATTTTTCCCGTCACGACAGGGCTGTGCACGTACTCATTCTTTGCAGGTAGTAAGTGTTGTCCTATAAGAATTCCATTGGGAAACCGTACCCCATCACCCTACAGCCCTAACCTTGTGCCTTCTGACTTCTTTTTCTTCCCCAAATAGAGAACTATTTAAAAGGAACACAATTTGAGTCCCTCCTGCATCATAAAATTGCTGTTTTGACATGGTGTAAATCAAAGAGTGCAGACTTCTTCAGGGAAGGTTTAAAAAGATGGAAACACACCCTTCAGAAGTGTGTAGACTTGGAGACAATGCTGAGAGACAATAACTTCATATTTTGATATTCTAATAATGGTTCATGTGATTTTATAGCAATACTTTTTAGTGGGCTTGCCAATGAGTATGCACTTTTAAATATGGTATATTTCCAAGTAGCTTTTTCCAAAAGCTGCTTACCTGTTTTCTGTGTACTCCCTCAACCAGCGTGTAAGAGTCTTGGTTTCCCAGCCCTGGCCACCGCTGGGTGTAGCGAGCGGTCTGTTTCATCCTGGTCACTCTGACAGGTGAGCAATACCTCATTCTCTTTACAGTGATCTAATTATCCACTGATGTGGTTTCCAGGAGAACAGTAGGTCATAAAAAGCAGAGACTTCCTGTCCTGAGGAAATGATGTAATGAATTTAGATTAACGTTGTACTCAACGGGCAGTCAGTGATTTTTCCTTATCCTGCAAAGTCTTGTGGGTGGCAGCTATTGACTGTCCTTCTGCAGAAGTATTTTTAAAACACAAAGTACACAGGTGTTCATGTGTCACTGCCTATGGGACTGTCGGAAGGCCTGTGAACCCACAAATGCCCATTCCACAGAGCTGCTTTCCCACCTCTGGCAAGTTAAGTCAAAGCATGGGTGAATAAAAGCATGATTTTTAACTAGAGCTGTGTCCATAACTTTGGCATTGCTCCAGAGGGCCTTTAAAGACAGTGATTGAACCTAACTATACACGTAAGCACGCACACACAGCCATGTTTGATAATAAACCACTGCAGGCAGTTGGAGACCTGGTGTGGCACTGTAGCTTAAGTACTAGACTGCTAACTGCAAGGTCAGCAGTTCAAACCCACCAGCCGCTCTTTGGAAACCTTATACAGGGTCATTCTATGAGTTGGAACCGACTCAGCTGCACAAAACAATGACCACAGGCAGTTAGGACTGTGGTGGTCATCATGATAAAGGCCTGCGATGGGAACTAGAGTTGCTGTCAAGCCTCAGCTCAGCAATAGTGGTCATCCAGAGTGATGTTGTACGTAGTACAGTTTGCACTCTCAGAAGAGACAACCCTGTCGGTCAGTACCGTTAGATCAACTCTGAGCCTGCTTCTGGGCTCAGTAAGAAGATGGGCAGTGATCCCAGAGTGCCCTGGTGCAACACAGGGGGAAGGGTGGGTCAGCTTACTATCTGCAGCCACTGCCAGCAGTGTTTTAATTTAGATATGGCGTAGAGTTAAAGATGCTCTCTGAGGGAGAGAAAATGATGTGGAGAGATGGAGCAGCTGTGGACTTTAGACCCAGAGAGGGAGAGAGGCTGTGTGCTGACGACTGGGGGGCAGGCTTGTAGTATATACCCTTCGGTTGGTTGATGATGCATGGAGGGGATTGTAACCATGGCAATGAAACGATATAGGATGAATGTAAAACTAATGTTCTCCCATGTAAACTATCACATAATTCACAATAAAACATTAAAAAGAAAAAAAAGATGCTCTCTGAATCGTTTTGTTAATGATGCTGTTGTAACTACTGCCCTGGTTTAGCGTGTTGACTTGTTTTTGTAAGCATTTCCCCCCACTGTCTGATGCTTTGAATTCCTTTTGAACCTAAGCCTGTGCGTGATTGATAACGTCCCTCCTCATGCCCATGCCATCATAGGGAAAGCACAAGGTCTTCCACCTCAGCAGTCTCTCCATGTCTTCATCACGTGGGATGATTCGTGGCACAGTGCTTTACCCTGAGGGGCTCTCTATAAATGTCACTGCAGCGCCTTAATTCTGAGATGCATCTTTTCACAGTCATGATGGTTCCAAAATTAGAGTGCATTTTGCAGTCCATATGTTCATTTAACAACATGTTCTCAAAAATGTGTTCTTTTAATTGATAGTGTTGTGGAAGTGAAGAAATAATATGTGGAGTCCTGGTGTGGCGATGTGGGTTAATGCACTGGACTGCAAAGTCCGTTTGAACTGCAATGTTGGTGGTCCAAGCTCTCCTGCTGCTACTCGGAAACCCTATGCAGGGTTGCTATGGGTCGGAACCAACTCAAGGGCACTTAACAACATTGAACTGAGAGTAATTATATTGCACATTACCCATTATTGTCAAGTCAATTCAACTCATAGTGACCCTATCAAATAGAATAGACCTGCCGCAAAGGATTTCCTAGGCTGTAGTTTTTATGTGAGTTGACCAACAGGCTTTTTCTCCCACAGAGTGGCTTCTTGTTATTGCTGTGACCCGAGAAATCGGTTCCAACTCCTTAAGACCCTGTGTGGGGTTTCTGAAGAGTGGCTGGTGGATTTGAACTGCCAAACTTGTCCAATGTTTATCCTACATCACCACACCAGAGCAGCTAGTGGGTTCTAAACAATGACCGTTCAGTTCTTGGCTGAGCACTCTACCCACTGTGTCACCAGAGAGCCTTTGTAATGTAATGTACGTTTATCTGTAAAGTAGTTTTTCTTTTTAGTTGGTTGGATTATTAATCAGTAGCAGTCATTAAGTATTGTTGTTGCTAAGTACTGTGGAGTCGGTTCCGACTCATAATGACCCTATATAGAGTTTCCATGGTTTGAACTACTGACCTTGAAGTTAGCAATCCAGTGCTTCCTTATCCTTAGAGCACCACACAAGGACTCTTCATTAAGTATGTTGCTATTAAGTGCCATCAAATTGGTTCCGATCCACAGTAACCCTGTATAGGGTTTCCAAGAAGCGGCTGGTGAGCTTGAACTGCCGACCTTGTGGTTCAAAACGAATTTGCAGTCCAGTGCATTAACCCACAGTGCCACACCAAGACTCAGTAAGTATACAGAATTCCGAATCCCTTCCATTGTTTTTTTTCATATGGATATCTCCAGACATGGTATGGTGCCCTCAGATAAGCACTCAACCTCAAAGTTGGTTTGAACCATAAGGTCAGCAGTTCAAACTCACCAGCCGCTTCTTGGAAACCTTATATAGGGTTGCGATTAGTCGGAACTGACTCAGCAGCATATAACAACAACAACACCATCCCCAGACATGAAGTCTGAAGTTCCTTGTCTTATGGTTCACATTGATCTGATGTCTAAACATGGTTAACAGTCATCCACTAACCAACAGAGCACATATTTTTAGGAGTCCACGAGTCATGCAAACTATTAAGTGCTCCCATACTAGCTGAAAGATTAGCAGTTCAAACCTACCAGGGGCATCTCAAATGGCAGGGCTAGTGACAGGTCACAGCCTTAAAAACCTTACGGGGCCCAGTTTTTCTTTGCACATGTGGGGTTGCCATGAGTTGGAATTGATTCAGTGACAACTAACACGAAGCTACTATTATGACTCAGATAATTACAGGACAGTCTCATGCCTCACTAACGTATGTTCCAATTCGTCTTCATTCCAGGAACTGCTCCAACCAATCTCTAAGCAAGGATCTAGAAGAACTCCTTTTGCATTATATATACGTAGCACCAACCCACTGTAATTGCGCATTTAAGTTGTTTTCAGTAACTTTATCATGTAGCTTTGTTTCCAGCAACCTTATCACATGTCTTTATTTAATTTTTTCATATTTGACTTTTTTCTACTTGGATTAAATTTCAGGAGGATGAGTAGAATAATGTGGCTACTTTTATACAAGCTCCAACACTTGAGGGTTGGTTTTTTTTACAGGGTCTCAAACTGATTCAGCCTGTTTCAGTCATGGCCAACAAGGTTACCCCGGGGTGGACCTGACATTTCAAATTGTGGGTGAACCAGAACACTAAGGAGATTGGGAAGAATGGAGGGCCCAAGCCCTGCTGGAAACATTATCTCCCTTTAGATAATAAAGACAGTGTGCATCTTGAATGGCTGAGTGCCCTTCTCAAAGATGGCAAGCTGGTTACGCAGCTTTGAATGGTGTCTCTCCCCACAGTGCTAGCAGGCCCAGTGTCCTGCATCAGGCTCCTGAAAGGGGCCACTACACCCCTTCTGAATATTCTATTCCAGGGGTGCAACACGTAATTTTCCCATTCTGGTTAGTGTTCCGGATAACCCCACTTGGAAAATTCAGATCTGTTCCAGTTTCACTTTGTCAGCCGTGACTGAACCTACTTGAACTGGTTCAATCACTATGAGGCTCTAAAAGCCAAAGCAAGTAGGATTTTCTCATCCTGAAAGGGAAAGAAAAGTACAGAGCTTCCATACCTTCAATTCATATATGTGAACTGTCACACTGTCTCCTTTCAAAGAATCTTGGACTTGGGGGTCAAATGTAGACTTTCTCTATAGCCTTTTATTTGGTTTTCTGTTTTCTGTCTTTCAGAGGATCCCAAACCCCAGTCGCCTCCCCTTGGTGGCCCCCTGGAATACTTACCCTCTGTTCTTCGGCACGGCCATTTTTGCATTTGAAGGCATCGGGATGGTAAGAGTTACACTGTGATTTCAGCCTGAGTTTCTCTGGTGCCCATGGCATTCTGGAGGTCTGCTTCAAAGGATGCTAAAGCATTGCTGTTAGAAAATTTCTCAGTCTTTATGGCCAGTTAGTGAACAACATTTCAGGGATTTCTGCCAATACTTTCAAATTCTAACTTTTGAAGATTCAGTATGTGATTTTTAAATGTTTACACTGAGAGCCCCTTCATTGCACACTTACCTCGTATGTGTGTAATAGGCAATAATACACGGCAATTAGGAATTCAGGGTCTTGAGTCAGACTGATGTGGGGTGAGTCCTGTCTCTGCCAGTCACTGTGTGACCTTGGGCAAGGACTTAACCTCTCTGAGTTTACGTTGCTTCTGAAGAGTGACTTTAATTATTAGTGATGGTTAGGATTCATTGAGATAATATGTGTAAAGTGCTTAACACAATCCTTTCCACATGTTAAGCATTAATTGAAGTTTTTATAATGTTATTGATTTTGTTATTAGATTAACATGTGAATAATTTCTCTGTCACGGGACACTGTTGTTGTTAGTGCTATCAAGTCGGTTCTGACTCATAGCAACCTTGTATTGGGTATCTGAGGAGTAGCTGGTGGGTTTGAGCTACCAATCTTTTCAGTCCAGTGTTGATCCTACAGTGCCACACCAGGAGTCCCACTGGGACACTGTTGCTGTTGTTAAATGTGGTCAAGTTGGTTCTGACTCAGAGTAATGCTGTATAGGGTTTCCAAGGAGCAGCTGGTGAGTTTGAACTGCTGACCTTGTGGTTCAAACCGACCTTGCTATCCAGTGCTTTATCCCGCAGTACCATACCAGGACTCTGATGGGACAATGGTGGTGGTGGTTGCATGCCGTGGAGTTGGTTCCGACTCATAGCAACCCTGTACAGAGTTTCTGAGGCTGTAAGTCTTTACGGGAGCAGAAAGCCTCATCTTTTTCCCATGGAACAGCTGGTAGTTTCGAACTGCTGACCTTGCGGTACGTAGCCCAAGTCGTAACCAATATGCTACCAATGGGACATTGCTGTTGTTGTTGTTAAGTTCGGTGGAGTCGGGTCCGACTCATAGTGACCCTGCACAGGGTTTCTGAGGCTATAAATCTTTACGGGAGCAGAACGCCTCATCTTTCTCCTACGGGACAGCTGGTAGTTTCGAACTGCCGACCTTGAGGTTAGCAGCCCGATTCGTTCGTAACCACTACACTACCAGAGCTCCTTAATGGAACATTAGTGCCGTGTATTTTCTAAGTGAAATGAACCACTTTTATTCCTGACTCAGCTTCCCCCATATCATTGTTGGTGACCTCACTTAATTTGATTTAATTTATATCTTCCATAATAAAGGTCCAGAATTCTTCACTCAGGAAAATTGATAGCTCGGCTAACCACTCAAACTCACAGCCGTCAAGTCAATTCCAACTTGTAGCTGCCCAACAGGCCGGAGCGGAACTGCTCCCCAGGGCTACCAAGGCTGTGAGTCTATCAGCGACTGACTAGTGCCGGTGGCAACCATGGAGGAGTGTGGGCCTGTGTCAGCCACGCCTCAGCACACAGCCTGATGCTTTCATTTGGTTCTCGTTTGAGTTCCCTGTCATCTTTTATACTTTCACAAAAATCTAGAAGCCAGAAACATCTGGAGGAGGGGTGCTGAAATGACTGAGGTATCACTCTGGTGGTACTGAAAGGATATGTTAAGGCGCTGGCACCAAGGTTAGGCTTTTTGAGGTCTTTAAGTAGCTCTGGTAGCATAGTGGTTACTCATCGGGCTGCTAACCTCAGGGTCATCAGTTCGAAACTACCAGCTGTTCCGCAGGAGAAAGATGAGGCTTTCTGCTCCCATAAAGATTTACAGCCTCGGAAACCATGTACAGGGTCGCTATGAGTCAGAACCTACTCCACGGCACATAACAACCACAACATTGAGAACAAATCATTGATGGTTCTGAGGACAATCAGCCTTTCTTCATGGTCTTCCTTAGGGCTTCCTTTACCCACTGTGGTAAAGTGAATTAGCTAATGTCTCTTGTAGCCATGGTTTGTATCTCCCACCAAACAATGTTTCTGCCCTACTGGGTCTGGCTAAGAGAAATCGGGAAACGATATTGATAGGACATGATCCAGCTGTGGATGTTAGAGTTCATTGTCATTGTAAAAACCTGGAACTCTAGCCTGGATATAAAATGAACCATCTCAGAAGCAGGAGAGGAATCTTACTGCCATCAAGGAGGAAGAGCCAGGAGGGAAGCATGTCATTTGAACCCTGAGATCCCAGTTCATTGAACATCCTTTACCCAGGGACAGAAAGCTTTGACAGAGATCAGCAGCAGCAGAACTCAAAACCAGGGCATGAGACAGAGCAGTGGACTTCCTAGCCCATGGAGCAAGTCAAGCTGAGCGACTTTGGACAGGAAGCTTGCTTGTAAAGGGAGGCACATTCAGGCACTTAAGTGGGGGAGCTAGGTTCACTTGCCCATGGGCCTAGAGCCGAGTGCCTTCAGGATGAGGCTTATGGTGGAGTGGTGTATCATGTGGGCATTTATCAGCAGCTGACTGAAACACTGTGCCCTGAACATTGCTGATCCTATATTGTAATCTGTTGTTAAGTGCCGTCGAGTTGGTTCCTACTCAGAGCGACCCTGTGTTGATGGAGCAACTCGTGAGCTTGAATTGCCGCCCTTGTGGTTCAAACTGACCTTGCAGTCCAGCACATTAACCCGCAGCTCCACACCAGGACTCCGTGTAACCTGTTGACTTCCCTAATGGACCCCATAACTATTAGTATGGTGTTTGAGTTCTGTGTGGCCACTACAATGGATTATTTTCTATGTTACAGAAAATAGGATTGTGAGAAGAATGGTTTTTGTACCTATGAAGTGTGTTTCGCCCTGATTCACACACACAAATGCCTTCTCTGCAGCTGGGGTGGGGTCCTGAATGGGTCCATATTTTAGCAGTGGAAAGTGATGTTTCAAGTCCTCAGGGACTAACAGAAGAGGTTGAGTAAGTATGGAAAGAGGTCAAGGACCCTGTGTTCTGAAGGACTGTTGTACTAAATCTACCAATTTTCTCTAACAACACTACGCAGTTGTTCTTTGTTTCATTTCATTAGCCAAGGCTTGGGTACAGAGTCATTATGTAAACATCATTATCTGTTCCTTTAAGACTTCTTTGTGCTTATGTTTTTACAATAGGAGGAAATATTGCTACTTGGACTCTTGGTTTAGACTAAAGGGTTTTCAGTGGGTCAGGGTAAGGTGCCCTGTGGGTGTTTCTGCTACTGCCTCAAGTCTGACAGGACACAGAGGACATGGCCTTCCTGCCCTCTGGCTCGTTCCACTCTTGATTTGGAGGAAATTGGTGGACAAGCATAGAAACTTCTAGTTTTTGTGGGTTAACTGTAGCTTGAGATTCTCGAACTGGTGCATGGAAGGGAAGGAGACATTGGGGGCAAATGGGAACAGGAGTGCTATGATGCCCCTCAAGTCTGGTTGTGTGCAAAGCTGTGACTGCCATAGACCCCCGACTCCTCCAAGGCTGCATACACTCAAGGAAAATGATGTAATGACAAGCTCGAAGGCAGTTGGTGGGGTAGACGTTGCCCTGAGTGGCTTTTCCTTGTCAGCTGTAGCAGAGCCCATTGGTAGCTCAGGTGATCATCCTTATGGTCACTCCTGCCATTTGCTTCGTTCCTAAATGAGCTCATCTTTATAGGGGATCTTTTCTTAGGGGAAGGAGCATTGGTGGCATGATGGGTCACACACACATTGGGCTGCTAAGTCTATGGTCAGCAGTTCAAACCCACCAGTGCCCTATGGGAAAAAGATGAACCTTTTGCTCCTATGAAGATTTACAGCCTGGGGATCCCTAGGGAGTAGTTCTGCTGTGCCCTGCAGGGTCTCTGTGAGTCAGACTCAACTTGATGGCAATGGGCAGGTTTCTTTGCTAGAAGCCCTGATAGCACATTGGTTAAAGCACTTGGCTGCTAACCAAAGGTCAGCGATTCAAACCTACCCACAATACCATGGAAGAAAGATGTGGCAGTCTGCTCCGATACAGATTCACTGCCTTGGAAACCCTGTGGGGCAGTTCTTCCCTGACTTACAGGGTCGCTGGAGTCAGAATTGACCCTCTGACAACAGTGTTGGTTTGGTTTGGGTTTTTCTTTTTTTGAGTGAGAATGAAAGAATGCTCTTTGATATGAGGCTACAGGGCTCAGTGGTTTGAAACAGGACCCTGGGGATCAGGGTTGGTTAGAGACCCGAGTCTGAGATGGATGACTGTTGAGTCATAATCTTTAACGTGTCTCTAACTCAGAGCTTGAATATGTTTCCTAGGAGTAGGGCCTGCCTCTACTGAGGGAAAGACATCATTTCTGGGAACTACAGTGGCACTTTTTCCTAATTTGCATGTATTTCTCATTCTTCGGATGGTGGTGGTGGTGGTGGTGATGTGCCATGGAGTAGGTGGAGTAGGGTGTCCGAGGCTGTAAATCTTTACTGGAGCACAAAGCTCATCTTTCTCCCACGGAACCACTGGTAGTTTCAAGCTGCTGACCTTGAGATTAGCAACCTGACTTGTAACCACTACTCTACTAGAGCTCCTTGAATAAATGGTTGTTATTGTTCTTAAGTGTTGAGTCAGTTCCAACTCAGAGCAACCCTGTACAAGGGTTTCCAAGGAGCAGCTGGTGGCTTTGAACTGCGGACCTTGTGATTAGCAGTCCAGTACTTATCCTACAGTGCCACACCAGGAGTCCTTGGAGAGCTATGATTTCAGTTGGTTACAAACCGACCTGTGCCACCGCAACATCCCATTCCCTCTCAGGCCAGGTGAGCATGGTAAAAGAGGGCCTACTGGTTGCCATGAGTCTGATTTATTGGAGTGAAGAGCACTCCCACCCGAGGGGTCCTATAGCAGAAGCACAGAGCACTGGCCTAGCCAGTTGCCCTGGCCCGAGGCTGCCCACTTTCATGTCTGAGCACTTCTGGGCTCAGACAGTGGGCTCTAGTACCTTCTCTGCCTCCCAAGAATATACATTCTAATGAAACCATTGTCACTTATTTGTTTATCGGTCCTAGTAAACGACAGATATGCTTTGAGAATCTGTGGGGATAAAGAAGTTACTTTTTTCTGAGGATGTTAATTTATGATTTGTTGGCCACTCATTTTTGCTTTTGTTCCTGTGCTTTCTCCTCTCTCGTAGGTTCTGCCCCTGGAAAACAAGATGAAGGATCCCCGAAAGTTCCCTCACATCCTGTATGGGGGGATGGCCATCATCACTGCCCTGTACATCAGCCTGGGATGTCTGGGGTACCTGCAGTTTGGAGCTCACATCCAAGGCAGCATAACCCTCAACCTGCCCAACTGTTGGTATGTGGGGGCAGGTGGAAGGTTACCTGGTGATTTTTAGAAAGTAACAAATCCTAATGTGGCTTCTTCTTCTTAGTTATTATTACACAGCAAGGCTACACCAACAATTCCACAGTGTTTACAAATACGATTCAGTGACGTTGATGACATTCTTCAAGGTGTGCCGCCATACTTCTTCCCATTTTCTGTTGTCAATTTTATCTCATACATAGACCCAATTCTTAGTCAGTCAGTCCCTTCACTCTTTTTTGTTTGTTTGTTTTTTAAATAATTTAAGGTTTTTATTGTGGATTGAGTGAAAGTTTACAGGGCACATCATCAGTTTCACATTCAACCATTCATATAACTTGTTTCATTACATTGATTATAATCCCCTCCATATACCATGAGTTTAAAGTATTTCTCTCTATCCACTTTAGCTTTTTAAAAAACACACCAACAAAAAAACCCACTCGGGCATATA